CTTGTGCAACAGATTTGTCTAGTGCAATATGTCACTTGATTTCTTGACTGTTGCTTCTGTGAGTGTTGATAGTTGATACAAGCAAAATGAGGATTTTGACAACTAACATCTTTTCTCCATTTATGTGAATGTTATTTATTGTTCCAGTGATAAGGATTTTTTTTTTTTCTTTACACTAAGGTGCAACCTATACTGAAAGCTGTGGTGTTTAATCTTCATCAGGAAATATTTACTAATAAACACTAGACTCCTAAACAGAAGTCCTGGTGTGGCACTGTAGGATCATGCACTGGACCACAAAGTCAGTTGGAACCACAAGGTCTACAGTTCAAACTCAGCTGCTGCTCCTTGGAAATGCTATGTAGGGTCGTCATGAGTAGGAACTGACTTGAGGGCACCTAACAACAACAATTAAGCAAATGGTTGGAGATTCAAATCCACCTCGAGGCACCTGGGAATAAAGGCTAGGCAATCTGAATCCTAATGGTCATAATCTTGAAAACCCTATTGAATATAATCCTACTCTACACACGCAGGGTCACCATGAGTTGGAACAGACTTCACTGAACAGATTTTTTAGTTGGTTAGTTTTGGTGTATCCTTAGAAAATGGTCTGAAAAGACATTGACAAAATTATTATTGGGGTGGAGGTGGAGCAATGAAGGGGGATATACATTTTTTATTCAATAATATTTCTTACTGTTTGGAATTTTACATTTGTCACATTTTATTTTTTTAAATATGAAGAAAAGTATTCAAATTAAAAAATGTAAAAATATGGAAAGAAACAGTTGTTCATTGCCAAGAAAAGGAAGTGTTGTTGTTAAGTGCTGTTGAGTCGGTTCTGACTCATAGCGACCCTGTATAGGATTTCCGAGGAGTAGCTGGTGAGCTTGAAATACCAACATTGTGGTCCAAAGTGACCTTGAGGTCCAAACCGGCTTTAGGTCCAAATCTAGTGCATTATCCTGCAGCATCACACAAGGACTCCAAAAAAACAACAGTACATAGAAGCATTTGGAATGTTTTATTGTTATTATTTATACTGAAGTACAGTAAGCATTACTCTGTTTTCACATATTTATATAAACTTCCCTATTGTAACCTGTAACCTTTGTCAAATGCTTGCAGCCTTAAAAAACAAAGTGTAAAAAGACACTTTGTTATATTTAAATTAAGAAGGCAAATCACTATGGAGTAGAAATTTAAAATATCACTTAGTATAGATAAGAATAAATGTGAAATAAATGAATTTGTTGAGTTTTTCTTATTCTTTTGGGCTTTAGGCATTAGGATTTTTATCTTCTTATGGAATCGGAATGGAATATGATCAAGCCAAGGTAAGGTCATTCTATTTTTTCAAGAACAAATCTGACTTTAAAAAAAAAAAAAGATAAATATTAATGAAAAGTCCACTCTAAGTAAAAGGGATCCTTCTAATTGGTGGTGATTATGTGCCGTGGAGTCGGTTCCGACTCATAGTGACCCTGTACAGCGTTTCTGAGGCTGTAAATCTTTACAGGAGCAGAAAGCCTCATCTTTCTCCCGCAAAACAGCTGGTAGTTTCCAACTGCTGACCTTTCACTAGTCAGAGGAATAGTCCACATTCTAATACATGTTTTTTAATGTCTGCATATTCAAATATTCAAAGTTTTTCATTGAAGGCAGATAATAATATATTTCATAGGGCTTATATGATGATTAAGTGAAATGTCTTATACAATATCTTTGTCACAGACTCCAGAGCTTGGTAAGCCCTCAATAAATGGCAGCCATCTTTATAGAGAAGAAGAATGAAATTTCTTTTTTATTTTGGAGTGCCTCCAGGGTCATTTGGGGGCCAGGAAAAAAAATGCTTAAGTTGATGCATATTTACACACACACACATATATATGTTTTCTTTTTAACTTTAGGCACTAATATATTATACCTTTGGAAGTGCCGGAGGAAGCATGATATCTCAGATGATTTTGGTTTGTAAATTAAATATTCTTTTATCTGAATACATCTGTTACAAATGTAACATTGTCATAATATTAATAATATCTATACCTGTGTTTTAGGGATACAGATATTTGTCAGGAATCAATGTTCTGCAGAATTGTGAAGTTGCCCTAAATCATTACAAGACAGTGGCAGATTATAGTGAGTAAT